CGTTATCTTGATTTATTTCCACTATGGGAAACTCCATCGTTCGTTATAGAGGATAAGGATGAATTGGAGGAACTCTTCGTGAAAAAATATTTGATGATTCATGTTAAATGAAAGATTTGCACAAACAAAGATATGATAAAAAATAAAAAATAGTCTGGTTGCATTAATTGGAATGTTGGTTGAAAATGGATAAATCAGAATTTTTCGGTTAAATATATTATAATTCTAGTTGAGATAATCAGAATTTTGATTAATATAATCAAAATTTTCTAAAAAATTCGTTGATTTTCAACAAGAAATTTTTCTCAGTAGTTGAGAGTTATATATATATATAATAGGAAATGCGTATTTTCCTACAAAATCTAAACGTTTTAATTATCTATACTGTTAAATACTTCAAACTTCAAGAATAATTTTCTAGATAATAAATGATGAATACGACTAAGGGTGGAAAGTCAAAGTGACCATAACATTACTAACGTTGATAGCAATCTTGCACTTTTACATCTCGATTATATAATTCTTCGAGCTGTCAGGAGCAAGCACGTAATTAGCAGCCCGTGCTGCCAAGTGTCTTGTGTTAAATTAGCGATTTCATTCAAGCATCTCCGGTCACAACTTGCGGAAGCAGCTGACAACTTCCTGCTTTCCTATGCTGGAAGGAAGGAAACAATGGTTTCCGCGAGCATGACGAGAAAGGACGATCAATTGATGAATTTCTAATTACGATGATAGCGCAAATATTTTTACTGGATATGCCAGAGTACCTGTTGCCAGTTCATCAAACTTGTAGATTGCTCGCTGAAGTTGTGTTTTTTATGTGTACAAGATTGTAATGCTCGCTGAAGTTGTGTTTTTTATGTGTACAAGATTGTAATAGAAGCGAAGTAGAAAGGCCATTAAGTGAAGAACATAAAATATACACGTATATACGAGAATCGTTATTCCTTAAATCCATTAAATAAATCTCGTCTGTCCTCCATGCCTATCGAAAATAATAGCGATTAAAATCGATATTTTACTCTTTTCATTAAAGACCATTCCAAATCTTGCTCGATGTTTAGCGAGATAACTAACGAATTGGCTATGTGAGATTAAAGCGTTCATCGAACGCTCATTAGAAGCTACTCATTAGAAGCTAATTTCCTTGCGCCCAGATATCACTAATTAAAGAATATAGTAGAAATAGGTTCAACGATCTTGACTTTTAGCAAATCATTAATGAGCATTTTTCTCACTTTCTCTCTCTCTCTCTCTCTCTCTCTCTCTGTCTTTCTTTGCTGTTTTCTTATAACAAATAGAGATTTTTGACAAGATGTAAATCTCCATGACACTTTTGATTGTTGAAGGAAATGGAAAAACAACAGGATAGTCGAATGGCTCTGAAAAGGGTGGAAAAGGTCATTTCGTGGGAACGAAATAGCACCTAAACGAATTTGCGTCCAGTGCCGCTCTCATGAGAATTTGTTTTAAGATGCATCGCACGGCGCATTTATCTTAGCCATGGACTTTAATTAAAGTTTCTTTCCCAAAGGAAAGAAAGCACATAATAATAACGCTTCCCTGTGAGTATTGCATTGAGTGTACACATGTATAGATGTGTGAGAGGGAATACTCTTTTTTTCCTCTTCTTCTTTCTTCCGTTGAACAATAGAAAGCACCAGCTTCTGAAAATCGATCGATTCTTCTTGCATAGCGCCTCATCGCATAGAACGACGTCTGTTGCAATCTGTTGCTTTAACTCTAATTAGGTTGAAATGCGCTTAATCAAATTTTTTTTTCTGTCACGGCTAGAAATATAATTTAAAAATAGATAAAAATATCAATTAGTATTAAACCAGTAAATTTAATCAAAGCTAAAATTTAAAGTTAAAATTTAAAGTTAAAATAAAAAGGATAAAAGTGTATCACTTGCAATTTATTTTAATATTTCTTAAGTAAACATTATCATTCTGAAAGACTCGAATTATATGAATTCTAGATTTATATTCGCGCTTCATTCAAATTTTATCTGTTTGCGATTAGGAACTTAGAGGCGCAATTGAATGCAACAGCGCTTTAATTTAATCTATGCGTTGAGAGTGCTTTGCATCATATACTAAAAATATGCGCCGCCGTTCAGTAGAAATGAATTCCTAAAAGAGTTAATTCAACGTGATTTCAATGTAATCTCAACGGCTTCCATCGTTCGTATTGCGAATTAATTGTTATTCTTGATATTTTTCTTTTAAATGGAATTGAACATTTTTATGCTGTAGGATTATCAGGATTATACGTTTCGTTGTTGTTCAAACGCTTTATCACGAGACTTATGCAAGTGTTATGAAAGACTTCATTTTCAAAATTTGTAAACATTAAATTAAATTTATAGTATGTTATGTTTATGACGCTATATCTAGCTTTTACATCATAGAATCTTTTTTTCGTTAAGTTAACAAACACGATAAAATAACACGACACATTACATGTAATTTAAGCCTGTTTAGCGATTTTTTGGGCGGTTAGCACGCTGTTTATTAAAGGAGAATACTAAACAGATTTATATAGGTAGATATTTCTGTGTAAAACACTTAATGGAAAACATAATACAATAGTACGTATATATGTGGTTCTACGAAAAAAAATCTCAAAACCTAGAATATGATTTAAAAGAAGAAATCGGAAAACGGAATTCACTCTACACGGATGTTGCGTGGAAACAAATCATTCGGGACATGTCACAGGAACTAAACGAACTAACTCGGTACTGCAAGGATCAAAGATGTGAGTGTCTTCGTATCTTGACGCGTTTCATATAAACGTTATTTTATATACAGTAGAACCAAATATTTTCAAAGATTTTAAGGGACGATTCTTCACACAAATTCAAATCGAAAACTCTATCTGACTGTGTGTCTAGAAGGGCTAGTTTCAAAGATATAAGGTGTGAAAGTTGAAGGAAAAATTGTCTTCTTTCCCAAAAATTTTGAAATCTTTAAACTTATATAAAGTTTCATCAAAATAAATCGAATGGTTTTCATAATTAAAAATAAAATTTTTCTTTTAACTTGAATTTGTGCAAGAAATCATTCCTTAAAATCGTTTAGACTCACTTAGTATCCACTCTATTCCGTATATTATATATATATATATATAATTTATTAGCCCCAGTTTCTTCCGTTGACGTTGCAGCACGAAACATAGTTCGGTTCGTTTGTTCGAATTTTATTTCTGACATTCACATCTTTACTGCTTGCTATTCCGATATAACGGTCACCATCGATGCAAGTATAAAAATAAAATTGTACATAAAAGTCCTAGGGAGCCTGTCCCGTGTTGTTGTCCGCGAATGAACGCGCTGGTTGGGAAAGTAATTGTTTAGCGAATAGATCGTTTTCGACGGCATTTCTGCAAGTACATTCGCATCTTATATCACTTCAATTTTACGACGTTGCTGAACGATCTATTTAGGACAATAATTGCGATAATCCAAATAATATACGTAGTCAATCCGCTTATGCTCCGCTTATTGGAGAAGCTTTTCCGATGAGAAAAACGTTTCACAGTACCTCATAATGAAGTATCGTTCATTCTCTATATTAAATTCTGTTGAGATCAAACGATTCATTTAAAAAATAATTATAACGTTTAAATTTCTCGCTTTGCGACAGACTTTTGTTCTTGAACTCCGGGAGGAAAATATGAGGAAAAAAAAAACATCTTGAGACATAATTTAAGGTGCGATCTTTTTCTCGTGATTTTTCTCGACTTAGTATTATTTTCCTTCTATTAAAATTTGAAATCTCGACGAGTTTAAACAAGAAATTCAATTGGAACGCGCCGGAAATCTGAACAGAGATTGGATGTTCTTCGTATCACTCTCCGACGAGAGAGCGGATCTGTATCACTAAAATGCGATAAACCGGTGGTAGGATTTCGAAGCTTTTAGCGTTGATCCACGTGATCCTTCGCGACATTCTCGACACTCTACACTAGTATAACTTATATGCCCGACATACACGTTGAATCGCTGTGACAAGAAGCTATTTTCTTCGAGTGATACGCGTGTGAAGAACAGCGTCCCGTCCCGTCGGAAATAAAACAGAATTACGGCTTATAATTGCGGAATTTCAACAATCTCGCTAGACAAATAATTTCGCGGAGCAACATAATAGGGATTGATAATTCCAACTTTCTACTCGGCTTTAAGAAATTACCTTATCTCACGCAGTGAGATCTCACGCAGTGATTACATGAAATTAAGCGTAACCCTGAATCGAGAAGAAATTAGGAGCGGAATACGGGATAATAAGCCCTAGGAAGCAAGACGGAGAATGGAGGAAAAGCTATCGGCTCTCGAGAAACGTATAATCCTGATTCCCATGGCGGTCTTTTATTTCTCTACCACGTTTCTGAGCAGCCGGTGGCAGTGTTGGTGCGATAGGTCGCCCGAACACGCCAGCTCTTTCGAGAAGCAATCGAGTTGCCCTTTTCGAAGTGCCTCATTCGCGAGTTCGCCCTCAAACGTTCATTACCCGAGTGATAGGACCGATCCACTTGCCATTTCTAGACTACCTTTGTAATCCGTCGTCTTCGTTTTTCCACCTTACTGTTTGGTTACGTCGTCGAGGTTTTCTAGGAATTGCGTAAAAAACAGGCGAAGGTACATTTACAGGGCGCGCCGTTATATCATCCAGTGAACAATTAATTAAAAGTGTGATTGGAATCTTTGTATAACGTTACTTTGCAATTATTAACAATTCACTTATTCCGAATTGAGTACCTTCTTGATAGCAAATGGAGGAGTAATTTAATAGACTGTATGTTCATTCTATCTAACATTTGTGGTATTAATGGTATTTCATCGTAAGTAATGTATATTGTCAATAAGCATAATGGTTAAATAAATACAGCCATCGTCAGATGATATATCGCAGCGCACCCTTTGCGTTTCACGGATATATACACATACGAATGTATATACAGACATTGTAAAAACACGCTTGCCAGATGCGAGTTACCATTGGTTGACAATAGGTACCTATTAAAGGAACAGCGTCCGAAGTCGTCGGCATGCTTTCTGCCACGAGGTTCAGGAAAACTGTCAGCGACAGCAGAATGGTCACTCCTGAACAGGCGAAAAATTAAACATCAACACTGCGTCGCAACGTGCGGGCTTAACGTGCTACCTTGGATCTCTAGGGCACCTAGATTTTAGATTTTAGAGTTCATTAGGCCGCTGACGCACAAGGAGATCGAGATCAAATCGCACATACAATCGCTTTCGATTTTTCCGAGCGACACAAGTCAGCTCAAAGCATATTGTGTCCGTGGATCGATTTACAAGTTTCCCTCGCCGAGAGTTTCTTGAGTTCGTTGCAAATTCAGACTCGCACTCGCGTATCGTGATTACGATCTGCCTATTGACAGCGCTGATTTGCAAAAATCCAGCTCGAACTGGAATGCTATCTACAGATTTCGTAAAAACCTGTAAAATCTCCATATTTTCGATCACGGAAAAGTACGTAGTTTGAATGTGATGTTACTAATGTGACGCAAAAGTTTCACATTTACAACTTTTTCAACAACTATTTATCGCATTTTTGACACGATGTTGTTTTGTAGTTATTTAGAGGCTAATATACGAGGAATTTATTTTAATATGTAAATTCTTAAAGGTCGCTAGAAATGTGACGAGAAAAGTAATGATTAGAATCTTCTGCATGAAGTGAATGGTTTGTGGATGAACCAGAACTCGTTGATAATGTGATATTAATGACGATGAGGTAATGCAGGGAACGATCCGATAGAATCCGTGCGAATTATGCGACTCTGCGCAAACATTTGAGAAGACATGTCTGTGAGCTCGCTCGCATGATTAAGTGTGGACGACCACGAACAATCGAACCCTCTGTATCCCGTGTAGATTCTACTTCGCCCTCGGCAGGATTTCGAAGGGTAGGATTAGCTCAACAAAGTTCGGAACGTGTAACGGATGCACCGCGCTGCGAGGGATCGCAACGTTAGGCGACTTTGGTGAATCTGCCTAAGTCGCCGGCAACTCCATTACTGCGTAACAGCCTTCAAAGTGACCAGCAAAATTCGATTATCTTACTGCTCCTCTCCAAAATTGAGAACTTCTGCAAGCGGTTGACAACCCTCGTCTGCGTGAAACGGACAGCATAACCGCAAACTGATTGGGTTGAACGAAATTCGAATTGTCATATGAATTGTCGGAGAATTAAATAATTCGATTAATTGTAATCCCTTGCTGTATATTACTCTACAATATCAAGAGATACGGGTCATAAGCTAAACGTAATAAATACAAGTTAAACATAAAAAATACGGGCTGAACATAAAAAAACATATTCAAGTCGAACTCGTGGTAAAAGTTATTTTAGTTTGCCAAGCAAATCGTTAAAACTATGTCTACATAAACTATCAAAAGCTCCACTTTTTTATTATACTATTTTTCTTTGTTTTATTATATTATAAAAGGTGCGTTCGGGAAGATGGTATTAGCGCTATTTGTCATTTTATCCTTGTTTTACATGTAATAAACGATGAAGATAGAATGACACAAATAGCGTTAATAGTATCTCCCCGAATGCATCTAAAGTTTATGTAACAACAAATTGAAAAAGAAAATAGCCAGAAAGAAGCAATTCTAGTTGTAATGTAAAATTTTTTTTATTAATTAAAATTTAGTTTATTGACACAAAGAATAATATTTTATATAAAAATATATTACAGGGCTTCTTTATGAATGCAGAGTGTTCTGATCGTGGTGCAATCAGAAAAAATTTAAGATGAGTCTTCATGTAAAAGTAAGTTGAAAATATAGAATACAATTTTTTTTGTATAGAGTGTGAATATTCGTTAAGTATGCCTGCCCTTAATTAGCCACAATTTGCTTAGTTCACTCAACTTGATTTTTCGCTATTTCTACATCAGTCTGGATTTGGTACAGTTTAAAATACATAGTTTCAATAATGTATTTATAATGAATAATAATGTATTTTATTAAATGAAAAATTGATGAAAATATCTGTACAAAAAAATTTTATTTTATATTTTGACTTACTTTTACATGAGAAATCACTTCCTTCCAGTTGTATGACAATTTTTAGAACAGCTCGTATTCATAAAAGGTTAATTATATTATATATTTTTACTGAATATTTTATGTTTTATAAAAGAGTTAATGTTTACAAATTTCTTATCACGGTACGATTAGCTTCCAGAAAATTGGCAAAGGGAAATTGAGAGTATTGTCAGATCCTTGTTTGTGGGAATTTATCGCGCGAACGATTTTCCTAATTATGGTACGCGCGGTACCATAACTGTCGTAAATTAAATCATAAGGCAAGGGATTAAGAACCCGATATTATAAACGAATATTAATTGAAAGGTTATTACTCTGTGCAGGGGATGCCATAGGAACAGAAATATAAATGTAAGAGGTAATAATTTGTACTTTTGTGAAATAATAAAATTGTTCAGTAATCACATATTAGTTTAACAAAATATATAATTATTAAATTTAGCAGAAATATAATTAGCGACATATAATTTTTATGATTTTCAAAGATAATTTTTGTTACATAATTCAAATTTTAGTATTATCTCAAAATATAAAAAATGTAGCTGGGAACTGTTTTTTTTTTTTTTTTGAAAAAATAACTTTTCCATTTTTATATTTCATATATTAACTGAATCAATTAATTTAATCAATCAATTAATGTGTGTATGCAAAAGAGAAACGTTATTATTTTATTATTATAGGATATTGTAACGTATACAATTGACGTGTTATAAGTTATTATCTTTGAAAAATGCGTCATAACGAAAAAATGTTACAAATAAAAGTTGTATGATTTGAAGAGAGACAAATAAAGGAAAAATCAATTTGTCATGATTGTATTATTTATTTTTTTACACCATACAATTTTTGTTCGAAATATTTTTTGTTATAATACATACTTTCAGATATAATAGCTTGTAACACTTTAATCCCTCAGTCTACACTATTAAATCTATAGTATCAAATTTAATCTAATTTAAGTCGCCATTGCTCCTATTCAATATATATTCAATATATTGTTATTTTTACTACAACAATGAATAAATTTGGCACTATATAATGTCAAATTTATCTATTGTTTTAGTATAAAATAACGATATATTGAATAGGAATAGTGGCGACTCAAATTAGATTAAATTTGATTGACACTATAGATTTAACAACGTGTATAAAATGACAATTTATACCAATCGATATTCATAGGTACAGTAGACCCGAATATTTTTCAACTATAACGTTGTATAACATTATTTATAACAAATTTTTTACACAATTTTAAGTTACATAATCTTATTTCTCGAATTTTGATCTCCAAAATGAAAAAAAGTCGTTCAATTACATTAACTTTAAGCAAACATATATCTATTAATTATATCTATTAATTTAAAGGACACTGTAATCCACAAATACCAATTAGTGTTAAATAAATGTAATCTGGTGCTATTACATTCTCGTTAATGATTACCTGCCCCATATACTTTGGTAACAGTAGATACGTGTAAAGTCACGTAATATTTGCTTTAAACGAAATCAACAAACCGCGATGTCGCGAGTTAATTCACCAAGTTCGGAGCATTACGATGGTTCTCGGAAGCGCGAGAGGACTTGACAATGAGTCATTAAGCTTGATGTATGTATACGTAGTTAAGTTACATGAAACTCCGTTGTGTAGCATAGTGGACTCACTTTGTTAGTCGATGAATTGTCACTGCCATTAAATTGTCGCTCGCAAATCAGAAAGTATAAAATATGATGCATCCACCGTGATGCTTCGGGAACGAATCCCGCGAATTCGTTAATCGAAGAAATTAATTAGAAACGTGCGTATATATCTGAGCAATCATGATCAATCATCGAATGGACAATTTATATTAAATTATACATGTATCGTTGATATGTTACCTGATTGGTGAAAAAGTTTGAAGTAATAAAAAGAGTTATTAAAGACTTAACAAATTTTTGGAGATCTATTTAATTATTCAAAAATGCAAAATTTATCGGAAGTCTGACGAGGCTTTAACGTCAGTATTTCGAAAGCGTGTAAGTCAAAGAACTTTTTCTTTAACGACATTTAAAGTCGGCTTCACGATGTTGGTTTTATCTAGCGAGCAGAAAAGTTAGAGGTCATAAAAAGAATACTATATAGATGGAAGTTTTTTTTAAAACAAATTTAATTACTGTAATTCAATAAATTATTGTATATTTAATTATTTAAAAATACAAAATTTAAAAAATACAAAATATAAAAAAACGGAAGTCTCACGAAACTGTAACCTTATATAGTTGTTTCGAAATTATATCAAAGAATTTTTTCTTTAATAATGTCTGAAGTCAGAAGCAATATGTTCGTACCTTTCGTTTGTGCTTTAATTCGATTTAATAGTAGTTTAGGTGAGATAAGGTCGAATGAGAGCATAGTATTTCGATGAGATCGACGGACGTAAACCGCGACAAGGTGCGTCCGCGGTGGGTGGCAAACCGCCAATAACATCGGGGGTTGTCGGTCAGCGGGGGAAGGCGCGGAGCTTGAGGAAGGCTGACCAATTAGTTCCTTGCTATTAGCAAACGCTAGCTGGAATATCGGAACGCGTGCGCAATCGATACTTTTTCGAAACCATGTCCCAGAATCTTGCATGAGAAACGTTAATCGCACGAGCTGCTGATGCGTCACACACGACAGATTATTATTCCAGAGATGTGGAAGTTTGCCGACAGAAAATATAGAGATTGATGATAGCAATTATAGCAGAAGATTAATTTTCATATATTCAGGTAAGAAAAATCTTCTGTCAACTTTTGATATCTCTGACATTTAATAACTTTTTTTACATCATATATGTATGTCAATTATTGTGTAAATGTCATTGAAATATATTTAAAGATATTGAACATAGAATTTTAGTTTCACGAGTTTTATATGATAATAAATTTACCTATAATAATAATTTTCAATTATTTAATTCTTTAAAGTTTAAGTTATTAAAAGATTAAATTTTATTTTTTATTTGCTATTACAGAATAAATATTTTGTAATTTTTGTC